CCTCGAATAAAAGGTCCTAAGAGCCCTGCTCTCTGTGACATCATTACATGGTGAAAGTGGGCCGGGAGGAGATGACCAGAGAGAGGCACAGGCTTAAATGCCCTCTCTTTCGGTTTCATCATTTAAAGATTTTATTTACTTATTTATTTATCTATTTATCTATTTATTTATTTATTTTTATTTATGTATTTATCATGAGAGAGCGAGGGCACGAGCAGGTGCAGAAGCAGAGGGAGAGGGAGAAGCAGACACCCCTGCTGAGCAGGGAGCCCGACGTGGGACTCGATCCCAGGACCTGGAGATCATGACCTGAGCTGAAGGCAGGCGCTTCACGGGCTGAGTCACCCCAGTGCCCCTCTCCTTCTGTTGTATTTACACATCTCAGGCCTTCAGGTTCTCACTCCCCATCTCGGAAACATCTTGCCAAGCACAGAAGTTCCTGGGCACTTCTTTCCAGAACTAATCCATCCTATAAGATCTGACCCCCTCCACCCCCACCCCCCACCTATGCTGTGAAAGTCTTTCCTAAACAGCTTAATTGAAAAGACCTTTTCTTCTGAATTTCATGGACAGTATCTGTATTATTCAGCATCTCCCCTTGACCTGCTTTGAGGCTCCTGTGACTCCCTGAACTACTACCTCCTCGTGCATTCCTACTTTATCTTCACCTTGCAGTGTCCTATACGTTCTGCACAGGCACATACACATATGGGACCAGAGTGAGCATTTTTTATGCCAGACTTCTATATTCCGGCCTGGGTAGGCTCTTCATTTCCCATAATGTTTCCTGCTTGCAGCCACCTCAAAAACATAGCGCCATGATATACTCTAGCCCCTCTCTCTCTCTCTTTCTTTTTTTTTTTTTTTTTTGAGATTTTATTTATGAGAGAGAGAGAGAGAACAAGCCAGGAGAGGGGCCAAGGGACAAACAGACTCCCCGCTGAGCAGGGAGCCTGATGTGAGACTCAATCCCAGGACCCTGAGATCATGACCTGAGCTGAAGTCACACGCTTAACTAACTGGGCCACCCAAGTGCCCCTCCACCCTCTCCTCAAGGAGACCGGTTTTCACCAACTGTCTACCCATCAAGTCCAAGGGCTTCGTTTTCTTTTTTTTTCCTAGCACCTCCTACAATCAGTCTGAGACACTTTCCTTACTCCTCTTATCAGTTTGCTTTATCTCAGTCATATCTCACACCGCCTTCAACTTCTTCCCAAAATGACGCAGTAAGTCAGCACGAGTAAAAAAAAAAAAAAAAAAAAAAAAGTTTGCTTTCCTGATGCACGCGTCCGTGTACTTCTTTCTGTCAAGACGAATTTTGCGCTTCGGTTTATATTTATCACTAGTCGTCCTTTGTGCTCTCATTGTTACAAGCCACCTTGAGTTACCTGAAATCGGGGCTGCATCTTGTTTTTCTAAAACAAAGATGTTATATTTATATTGTAAATCTTCCAACTCGTTCTGCAAAATCAGTGTCCTCATTTCTCTCCCCATCCGTCTCCAAATAGAATGGGAACTCCATTCGCAGGGGTACAGGGGTCCTCTGATGGTCACTGCTGCACCCCCGGTGCCTTGCACAGTGCCTGGCGCTCGGCAGGACTTGGCAGGTCCTCGTGGAGAGGATGTTGGCTGAATGAGCCTCCAAACACCCTCCCCGATCCTGCTCCTCTCCACGCCTTCTCTGCTTCACAGGAAAACGGTCAAGAACATAGAAGCCAAAGTGAAACTCCGGGGCCAATCACTAGCCCACATCTAAGCAGGGGTACGTCCTGAGCATAGGACCTGACTTCTCTCAACTGCCATGTCCCCAACCGTAAATGAGGATACGAATGGGCTGCCGGGGAGGACGGGGCGGGATAATGCAGATAAAATACCTGGCACGCCGCACGGTGCCCACACCAAGGGCTAAGCCTGGCTCTCTTGTTCACGCTTCTCCCGTTCAGCCAGCGTCACCTGTGCCACCACACCTGCACGGGTCGGCCTTTCTTTCCCCTGCTCACCTGCGAGAAAGACTGCGCCCCGACAACAACATCATTTTGACTCAAATATGAGCAACGCAATAGGCCCAAAGGGAGGGTCTGCGAGTTGTTTTCCTGTGAAAATCACGTATGCCTCTGGTGACGGAGCTTAGACATCTACGGAGCGGCCCTCAGCCTGTTTCTGAGTTCGCAGAAACCACGACCTTCGGTGTACGTACGTCTTACCACTCACGCCCTGCCAGAACTCTTGACCTGCAGGAAATGTCAACGCTGCCCAAACTGGGGGTGATTTTAACTCTTGCTTTATTTTCATTTTTGCTCTTCCAAAAAAAGAACAGTGAGCAGCAAATATTTCTTTAGAACAAAGGGCAGGGATCCCTGGGTGGTGCAGCGGTTTGGCGCCTGCCTTTGGCCCACGGTGTGATCCTGGAGTTCCAGGATCGAGTCCCGCGTCGGGCTCCCTGCATGGAGCCTGCTTCTCCCTCTGCCTGTGTCTCTGCCTCTCGCTCGCTCGCGCTCTCTCTCTATGTCTATCATGAATAAATAAATAAAATCTTTAAAAAAAAAAAAAAAGGGCAGCCCCGGTGGCCCAGCAGTTTAGTGCTGCCTTCGGCCCAGGGCCTGATCCTGGAGACCCGGGATCGAGTCCCGCGATCGAGCCTGCTTCTCCCTCTGCCTCTCTCTCTCTCTCTCTCTCTCTCTCTCTCTCTCTCTGTGTGTGTGTGTGTGTGTGTGTGTCTCTCATGAGTAAATAAATAAAATCTTTAAAAAAAAAAAAAAGAACAAAGGGCAGACTACATTTGGTCTACAGCCAGCGTTTGACCTGAGGCAAAGATGTTTTGCGGAAGCAACCCCTGAACACGTCGGGGCGCTCACATTTCACATGAAACAGCTGGTTACCTCGAACACGCTTTACCTTTTCCAGGTTGTCCTAAACTCCTACCAACTTTGCTGACATGCCCCATCCCGAAACTCACATTGCTTTCTGTTGTTGTTGCTGCTGTTGTTGGGAAATTAATGTTAAGTTGAGCGTTAACTAGCTAGAATTTTCTGAACATTAAACGTGTGCAAGGGAGGGCCGTAATTACAATCTGGCCAAACTCACCACCGACGTCCACCACCGCAAGGGAGCAAGGGAGGAGAACAGGGACGCTGCTGGGCATGTATCTCACACGGCAATGTCCTAGCTGGAAAAGGTGGTCCCTGCTTTTACAAGCACGCGTCTCAAAGAAATGCCGACACGGCAGACACACCAAGTTCACTCAACCTTGGGAATAAACGTCTGCACAACTGAAGTGGACACACAACCTTCAAAGCCCCCTGCAGACGGTGCAAACACATATTACTGGTCATGCCAGCTTTTCCGCAGTCATATCCAATCCTTCCAGACTCCCTGGTATATTCTAGGGCAAAAGGGAACCAGGACTTAACAACAGATTTTTTTTTTTTAAGTTAATGATTCAGGCAATTCTTGGAATAACTTCCCCTTGAGAAAATGTAACTAAGAGGTCCTAAGGAAGACACTCCCCAGCTGCTGAGAGCTCAACCCTGGAAATTCCCTCTTTTTCGTCGATGCCTGAGGATCCCTCAAACAAGTCGCAAAGTTTAATGACCCTGGAGAGGCCCTTTTTTTGCCTCCAGTGAACTTGGAACTCTTTTCAAATACTCATTAGGTCGCTCCATAAAAGTTTACCGGATTGAAGTGGGAAACAAAAAGCACTGGAGACCTAGCTCCAAAAAAGCCTTGCTCCCTCGCCCCCACCCCCCACCCCTACTTCTCCAAACTGGGAGCTCTGGAGCTGAGACTTGAGGTGATGACAGCCAGGAGGTCTGGGCAGTGGTTCCCAAAGCGGGACACCCACCGTGCGTGGGGAAAGACTGGGCACCCTCCCTGAGCTGCCAACCCTCCCTGGGGGGTGGGGTGGGGTGCTGATGGGGTGGGGGAGCTGATGGGGTGGGGAGCTGATGGGGTGGGGGGTGGGGGAGTTGATGGGGTTGGGGGTGGAGGAGCTGATGAGGTGGGGGGCTGGGGAGCTGATGGGGTGGGGGGTGGGGGAGCTGATGGGGTGGGACGGTGGGGAGCTGCTGGGGTGGGGAGCTGATGGGGTAGGGAGCTGATGGGGTGGAGGGGTGGGGGAGCTGATGGGGTGTGGGGGGAGCTGATGGGGTTGGAGGGGTGGGGAGCTGGTGGGGTGGGGAGCTGATGGGGTGGAGGAGTTGGGGAGCTGATGCGGTGTGGGGTGGGAGAGCTGCTGGGGTGGAGGAGCTGCTGGGGTGGGGGTGTGGGGAGCTGAACCGCAGGCACGTCCTGCAGGGGTCGCAAGGCCCCAGCCCCTCCTTCCCGAGCAGAGGTCCCGCTGCTGCAGCCCCAGCCCTCGGGAGGGAGCAGACGTCTCGGGAACAGGGCAACGCAGGGCAGGACTCGGGAGCCGGCGGCTCCCGGGCGCGAGTCGCAACTTGCCGGGCTCACGCAGCAGAACCGGCTCACTTTAATGGCTTTGCCTTTTCTGCGCGGAGCCGGCCCCTCCCGGGCGCCCCCCCCCCCCGCAAGGATCGGGTCACCGAGCCCTCGGGGGCGTCGGGCGCAGGACGGACGCGGGAGCCGGGCCCGGGGTTGGCGTTGGGGTTGGGGTTGGGGCGGGGGGGGGCTGCGCCCCGGGCTGGCTGGAAGGAAGAGGAAGCCCGGCCCCCGGCCCCCGGCCCCCGGCCGCCGCCCCCGCCCGCCGCCCGCGGAGGTCGCGGGGGGCCCCGGCTGCACCGCCCGCTGCCCTCGGGGTCGGCCCCGGGCGCGCCCCCTTTGTCTGGGTGTCCCCGTCCCGGCGGGCGACGCCTGGCGCGAACCCCGGGCTCGCGGGGTCGGAAGCCTCAGGCCCGGCCCGGCCCGGCCCGCCGCGGGGGGGGGGGGGGACCCCGAGTCCCGCGCGCCCGCGGACCCGCACCCCAGCCCCCCGCGCGCTCCTGACCCGGGGTGGGGGCGAGGGCGAGGGCGCGACTGCCGGCCCCCGCTCGGCCCCTGCTCACCTGCCTGCACCGTGTCCGAGAGGTCGTGCCCCGGGGCCGCGGTCCTGGGGAATTCCTTCAGTTTCCGGGCGCTGAGGTTCAGCCCCCCGGAATTGGCCGCTTCCTCCAGCGCGCGCTCCAGCCCCCGGTTCAAGGGCAGGTTGAAGCCGCCGCCGCCGCCGCCGCCGCCGCCGCCGCCGCCCGCGACCCCGCTGCCCGCGGCGGTGCCTCCGTGGTGCTGCTGGTGCTGGTGCTGCGGGTGGGCGTGATGCTGAGGGTGCAGCGCCGCCGCGGACAGGGCAGGGACGAAAGCCTGGGGTTCGCTCCCCGGCGTCGCCATCTTCCCCCGGGCCCCCCCACCCCGCCCCGCCGCTCCTGCGGGGGGGTCGCAGCCGGGCCCCGGGACCGGGAGGCTGCGGTGCGGGCCGGGCCCCCGCAGTGCCCCGCGGCGAGGGATGCTGCCGGACGGGAGGGCGGGGCGGCGGGCGCGCGGGCCGCGGGGCGGCGGGGGCGGCGGGCTCGGGCTCCGAGGTTTCCTGTCCCCGGGAAGCCGAGGACTGCGGCGGCGGCGGCGGCGGCGGCCGGCAGCGCGCATGTGTCTCCGCCCGGCCTGCGCCCTCCTCCCGCCGCCGCGCGCGGCTCCTCCTGCTGCGAGCTGTCAGTCCAGCCCCGCCCCGCCCACGCCCCGCCCCGGCTCCGCCCACGCCCCGCCCACGCCGGCCCAGGCTCCGCCCACGCCCCGCCCCGCGCGCTCCTCCTGCTTCTGGCAGCTGTCAGTCCAGCCACGCCACGCCCACACCACGCCCCCGACTCCGCCCACGCGCTGTTCCTCCTGCTGCGGAGAGCTGTCAGTCCAGCCACGCCCCGCCCCGCCGCCCCTCCCCGGCTCCGCCCCCGCGCGGCTCCTGCTGCTGCGAGCTGTCAGTCCAGCCACGCCACGCCCCCGCCCGCCCAGGCTCCGCCCCCGCCCCGCCCCCGCGCGGCTCCTCCTGCTGCGAGCTGTCAGTCAGCTCCGCCCCCGCCCCCGCTCCTCCTGCTGCGAGCTGTCAGTCCGGCCCCGCCCTCCGCCCCGCCCCCGCCCCGCCCCTGCGCCCTCCTCCCGCCGCCGCGCGCTGCTCCTCCTGCTGCTGCGAGCTGTCAGTCCAGCCCCGCCCCGCCCCCGGCTCCGCCCCGGCTCCGCCCCCGGCTCCGCCCCCGGCTCCGCCCCCGGCTCCGCCCCCGGGTCGCCTTCCCCTCCGCGCCGCACGCTTCTGGGTTCCCTCTTGCTGCTCCGCGTATGGGGGGCGGGGGGTAGGGGGGAGAACGGGGGCCGAGGGCTTCTAGGGGCTCCGAGAAGACGCCGGCGAGGCTGCAGACCTCGGGGGTTCCAGTGCAGTGACATCACGAGGAGGTGACAGGTTGTCTCAATTCTGCGAACGACTCTGGCTCTTTGACCCGCACACCTGCCCCCCCCAAGAGGCCGTCGTTCTTCACGGTGGGGTCAGACCCCACCCCCACCCCACCCCCGCACGTGGGCGCCTGCGAGGACTCAAGGCGGCCTAAGCGGTCTACGTTCATCATCTCATTAATTCCAGGGAGCCCGTGGGAGGAAAAGTGGTTCCCCCAGACTACAGAGGAAGTTAGATTTAAAAAAAAAAAAAAATCTATTTTTGTTTTATTTGTTTGTTGTTTGGTCTAAGGTCACACCCGTGCAGCCAGAGGCGGAGCTGGATGCGGATTGTAACCCTCGCGCCTGTAGGGCTGCCCTCGTCCCGGGATAGTCCTGGGCCCGACCCGGGGGGCAAAGAGACCAAGGCAGGGTGGGGTGGAAGGTTTTGTGAGCGATGGGAGGGCCGAGGGGACGGACACGGAAAGGAAGGACTTTGTATAGGAGGGTGGTTCTCGTGCTGGACGGGATCCATCACCCCAGGCCCCAGGTTGCATGGTGCAGACGAGGTAAGGTAGCCGGTGACTCAGCACAGGTAGGGCCTGCGCCCAGAGCCCGGCACGGTGTCCCCCTGCTGCTGAGGCTTGCCCCCCAAAGGACCTGGGGGGACCGACGCGAAAGCAAGTTCCCGGTCTGCCCAGACAGAGGCTGGCACAGCAGGGGCAGCAGAGGGCCCTCCAGCTGAGCACTGAGAAAACGCCACTGCTCGCTCTGAAGTCGCAGCTCCAGCTCTCCAGGGCCTTCGTTTGCGAGGTGACTGTCACCACGGTCACTCTAGGCGGCTTGGCTGGGAGACAGGAGGATGCATGTGGGAAAATCCTACAGCCCTGCAGGTGGGTGAGCCGGGCTCCCAGACGGTGGTGCAGAAAGATGCTGATGGCCTGGGCAACAGGCTGGAAGTTGTGACTTCATGTCCTGGGCACTGAGGTGTGACCTGATGTGTGTCACCTGCGCTGACTGCATGCACGGAGGCCCTTCCTTCCTGCAGGATCCTAGGCGGAGTCAAATGTGCTGATCTGGTGGAGGAGACAAAGCGCCATCTGCTGGCTTCCTCCCCCCCCCAAACCTCCTCTCTCCCAACCTCTTTTATCCCCTCAACCTCCCAGAGATTTAAAAACCGGGCTTGATATGCTATATGTTGGCAAATTGAACTCCAATAATAAAAAAAAAAGATTGTCATTGTGTTTCAGACAATCGTTTGACACAGCTCCATGCCTAAGCTAGTCTCATTCTCATTGCTATCCTTTGTTCCATAAGCTCTTAGCTTCTTTTTTTTTATTTTAATATATATTTTTTTAATTTTATTTATGATAGTCACACAGAGAGAGAGAGAGAGGCAGAGACACAGGCAGAGGGAGAAGCAGGCTCCATGCAGGGAGCCCGACGTGGGATTCGATCTCGGGTCTCCAGGATCGCGCCCTGGGCCAAAGGCAGGCGCCAAACCTCTGCGCCAAACCTCTGCGCCACCCAGGGATCCCCTCTTAGCTTCTTTCAAAACTAATGTTTCTGTATTATGCACACAGAAATACTCATACAGTTTTATACAAATTCATGCACAGAACCTTCAGCACATCGTAAATGGTCTTACTGCTTGCATGCAGTCTATTTTTTATAGCTTGTAAAAAAAATAAATAATAAAATAAATTAATAAAAACTGGACTTCAAAACAAATACAATAGTAAATAAAAGCACACTTATATCACTTTCGAAAACTAACCCCCTTCTCCTCTCCTCACTGGCCTTTCTCCAAAAGGTGAGTTAGAAACAGACACAAAGAATTTCCAATGGAAAAAAAAAAAAAAAAGAATTTCCAATGAATATCTTCAGCTAAACCAAAGTAGTCCCTGCCACCGGTGTGTACAGTAGGGTTGGGGACATCTAGCAGATTGCAAATTTAGTTCAGGTCGCAAATTGTAGTGATGCATCATAGAAAGCATCTTTTTTTTTTTTTAAGATCACAAATTCTTTTTTAGGGGAAATGATGGAATAGGAGTTCAGGATTTGTTTTTCAACAAGTGCTCAGTCCTCTCATTAGGTTGCTGCAGTCACTACAGTTTGCTTCTCCTTCTGCGGATTGCTAAAGTGCAAACTCCATGGGGGTGGGACCCACCCGGTGGGACCCACCCATCTCTGTAACTCCCACCCCGTGTCTAAGATAGTACTCTGTGTGTAATAAGTCCACGAGAAATATTGGTAATTAAGCATTGCACAATAGGCCAAGTGAGCAATACACCTGTCTATTGCACAAAAGAAAGCTTGCCATTTGTGGGCATGTCTTTCAAATGAAGTCCCTGAATGAGAGAGTTTTTCCTTGAAAAACTTGACCCTTAAAACTGACCTTGATTTAAAAAAAAAAAAAGGACCTTGATTATTTTTAGATATTCAAGGACTTGACAAACTATTTTCTCTTGCTGCCTTGCTTGCCTATTTTTCTCAAAAAAAAAAAGATGGACATCACTGTTTTATCAAATACTCTTCCTACTTCTTCTGGAAACAGGACCGTCTTCCCATTCACTCTCCCTGCTCCATACGTACAGTTGTTTGATAGCAGCTGTGCTATGATGTCGCCCCAGCTGGTCATCCTGGCTAATCTAGAAGTGGACTTCTGACCAAATGACAGGGCACTCAGAGGATCAGAGGGTCCTGATGATGTCCAAACCCAAAATTCTGACCGTTCCTGATTTGTGTCTTTAGTTTCTACGAGATATCCAGCATATTTGTAATGCATTCTACTGGTCCCCTAAGTCAATTTTATTTGGTTTTCTGTTAGTGCAACCAAGAGCTCTAGTTCATGCATTCAATTTACCATATTTTAGTCTTTATTCCCTATTGTGTCCCTGTAGAACTTTATTTTTGGATGGTCCACTAATAATTTCTTACAAACTATTTGGATAACCCAGCAGATTTTTTTCATGCTTTATCTTTAGTACCTTCCAATTATCTTCACAAAAAAAATTTTTTAAAGATTTTATTTATTTGTTCATGAGAGACACACAGAGAGAGGCAGAGACACAGGCAGAGGGAGAAGCAGGCTCCACACCAGGAGCCCGACGTGGGCCTCGATCCTGAGTCTCCAGGATCACGCCCTGGGCTGAAGGGGGTGCTAAACCGCTGGGCCACCCGAGATACCCCATTTTTTACAAAATTAACAGGATTCGAATGACTGAGAAAATGGAGGACATAGAAATATTCTCAGATTAAAATATTGGTTATTAGAAGAAAAGTGATCGGTTTCATCAACAAATTAAAAAATTTTAGAACCTATGTATTAAAAAAAAAAACTTCTGTGCTCTGAAAAGATGCCAGACTCTTCCATATTTAAGACCCAATTCTTTTATTCTTGCTGGAAAAATAGAGCTTATAAGAATCGAACTTAAGAATGGCAGATGGATTTGAGCAGGGCTATTAGGCCTATACCATCTTCTCAGAAACCCATGAAGAATCCTCTTCTGGTGGGAACTCAAACTATTTACCGAAGACGTGGGCATGGTCACCCACGTTTGTCCTTCACAGTTCTGACTGCCACCCACACCCCCACCCATAGCTAATTAGATAAGAGGGGCTGACATGAGATCCAGCTAGCCCCAAACAGGGGAGTTCACCCATTAGACTCTCCTGAAAATTGAAGCAAAACACACGGAGACCATAGTAGAGGAACAGCAGGTATATGACCCCAAAAGCAGCCAGAGTCACGGCTTATTCGCATCTTTTTAACCTTAATATTCTCCAATCTCCCTGCTTCAGCTTCGTCTTTCTTAAAAAAAAAAAAAAAAAAAAAAAAGAATAAGAATATTCCCTGCATAACACCAACCTTTTTGGTTATTCCCTCCACATGCTCTCTCATACTTAAGTATTCTCTTTGTACAGTATCAGTAAATATTTATAAGTAAATATTTATCTGGAAGTGATCAGAGTGTGTTGTATTCATTTGTCTTCAAGCACATCAGGGGCAGAGCTCAGGCCTTTTTCCCCCAAATGATTCAATAAAAAATATTGTCTGAGATGTTTGTGTATTATAAGGCAACAAATAACACCCACATGAGTTTCTCTGAAGAGAATCAATATTCCTATCTTGGACACGTTTAAGAGATTTTTCTAGCCTTCAAAAACACCGATCCAAA